GCTGACTGACAATGATGACGATGATGATGAAGTGCTAGCTAATCACATCGCTGATCAGCCTCTGGTGACCGAACGGTAAAATCTTCAAGCCACTAGCTGGAGAGTGGCGGGTTCCCAACTCTCGTGTGCTACGTGAGCGGTATGACGTTTCCTAGGAAGCAGGTACTTCCCGGCCTTTCAGCTTGCGGACTTCACTAAGGGGCGATATCTCCATCAAAAGCTTACAAGTCTCGTCGTACTGCCAAAAAAAGAACAGTCACATTTTCTAGACACTGACATTCAACACACGATGACTCTTTTCTCAGAATCAGTGTAATTTTGGAAATGACGCTTGGATGTAACCTAAAACTACACAACGTGTGAACTTATGCGATTTTTCGCCGTTGCTCTTAATCCCGCTGAGTGATTTCTGCATGCACAAAGGGCATAGTTGATAATTTATCGGTACACAAACGTGGAAATTTTAGGAACTAGGCAAAAGGATTTTGTGTAGGAATCGAATGAATGAAGCATCCCGCTGTTCAAGCCATTTTGGGTGTGTTCTACAGCTATTGGAAGTGAGGTAGCCCCGTTTTCTTCATCCTCACGAGAGATTGCTAAACTTTTTTTCCATAATGTGCAGACACTGAGAAGTTGAAACGAAACGTGATGAGATACGCGTGAACCAATTCTCAAAGCTAAGATATTGACCCAAACAAAACGATCTGGTTCGTCGGACAAAACGTCTAAACTTTGAATTCTACAATCTAAGCTAAAAACGATTCTTTCAAACGTATATCGGGAAGTTTGAAAATACTAACAAAGAGTCTATACAATTACTGTGAACTTTGACAGGCATTCATCTTTCAGCCGAGTGAAAGTTGGGAGTAAACGGATCTCATCTCTGCCAAAGAAAACGGACTACAAAGAAAAACTGTTGTGGACCACAGTCCCGTGAATCGCGGTCCGGATAGCCACTTGATCGCCTGGTGCGCTTGGCCAAACCAGAAAAGTCAACGAACGTGTGGATCAGCTGATCTATTGATCACTGGCGCGTACAAACGGTCAAAATCAATACCAAGAATACAACTCATCTGTCAAGGGCGAGTGAACAACAACCAATGAAATCTGTCTCTCAACGAAAAACGGCTACTTCATTGGCAGTTATGTAGTCCCGTTACGTTCGGAGCTGGTTCTCCTAATAAAAATATATGAAACTATTTGTAAGGATCACCCATCACTACCTGGCGGAGTAGCGGCTCATTGCTTGTTGCTTCTGCGGGTTCCATGCTGGTCCGTCACACTCTTCGGCTGCAAAATGTATATAGGTGACCCGTAGACATCAATTCAGACTGAAGGTGTCCTCTGATTGGCACCCCTAACTTGGCAGTGAGTGGTTCTGAGCGCAATTCAAGCCAGCAAGGATAAAAGTACCGCAAATCGATTCTCCAGGTGTACCAGGGGTGCTAAGATGATCTACGTTGATGGGATCGCCAACCACTCGGTTATTCAGCCCTCGCCGATTCATTCATTACACATTGGTGAGCTTCACATGTGATTCACACCCGGGTGAAGTTCAGAATGAGTACAGTCGTTCAAATGAGTGACATTAACTGATTCCTTGCTTGTGTCGGGTTTATGCTAGTTTATACTGAGAGAGTTTATGTCTCAGTTAAGTTTACGAAACACGCAGTAGGTGCCGAAAAATGCATTCCACCACACGGCGATGAACTTTACACGAACGAGGCTACAAACCATAGATATACCTTGGGATCGGCTAACATTGTAAAAAAAACGGCACGTAGATAGTGTTCACTCATATATGCATTCTGGCTATAAAAATATTGTTGCATTACACCCAAATGTTAGGTGGTTTCACAGATTATTTGCGGTCGACGAAACGCTTCAGTTGTGATTTTAGTCATGCCTCAGTGTTGCCATGAGCCTGCGGGCCTCCCTAGCTGAAACTCATATCCTCATGGTCAGGTCTTGAAAGAAATACCAATAACTTGGATCAGCGAGTCCCCGACTTAAGGGAAATTGCACTTGAGACTGTATTTAATATGAGAAAAGGTGACTCTATAAGAAAACAAGCACCAGTATCTCTATTGCAACAGAAATGCTATCTTTCGTGAAGTGCGATGTGCTCGGAAATGTCTATCCTAACACCGCATGCTTCGCAGCCCTGTGGTTGACCGTGTAAATTACGTATGATTAGTCTTTTGCTACTCAAAAAGGTACCTACCGTGAGCGGTAGAGTTAGTTTCTGACTTCAGTGACTTATTTGCGAACCCTCTGGTTGTGTCACTTCCACGGTGCCTTGCAGGTCAGGCCTTGGGTTTGACGACGTCTGCACTCCAAGTCCACGAATATGAGGCGGACTACCGATAAGAAAAGGAGGATATGGCCTCTAGAAGCTGGAACCTAGATGTAGCGGGATAGATCGCGTTGCCCGCCAAGGAACCACTAATAAAAGCCAAGAGATATTGCCTCTGTCTACACGCCCTACCAGCGGGGAAAAACCCAAAAAAGCCGTCATGTATACGAAATCGGGTCAGTGGATGCGAACCAACTTGAACAAAGAATGGTAAGTGCACTAAACTGCATCAACTTGGAGATGCTCGCCACTTGATTTCGACCGTCGCATTCATCTCTGGACTTGCCCTATGCTGTTGCGTTCAGCGGGGGGAAATAATACAGTTTCGGGTCAAGCGCTGCGTTTGATTTTCTGCATTTTCGAGTGGTTAATTTTTGGTGTTAGGTGAAGAAAAAATTTGTGAAACGGTGGTGACGGTGTGTGTGGCACTCGGAATTTCATTACGAGCAGGTGGCTCTGTATGGACTGGACACGGTCACGAATATGGCTAACCTATTGGGTGGCCCACAGATCTTGTTTTTCGCAAGCGAGATAAATGAAGCTCACTGGAATACGGATCATTTTCTCGGGTCATAAACCGACGCCGGGCTGTAGATTATGTCATGCAAGGAAAAAAAACTCGTTCAGTTTCAGTAAAATCAAACGAACAAGAAATGCCACACCTATATTTCTCGCTGTGCTATCACAAACACAGGTGACTTGCGAAGTCACACCCGAAAAGCTGGCAAGCCGGAACAAGGACAAAAGCACACATCTCAATAGGTGATACGGATACAATTAGACTGAATCAAGAATGGAGGTGAGGTGGATTTGGGGGAGACGACTCACTATTGGTCACCCCAATAGAATTCAGGAATTCGATGTTTATCATGGCTATCCAGTATCCGACAGCTAAAATATTCTAAGGAGCACGAGAACCAAAACACATGCGGAAGTAAAGCACCTCTATTTTGTGTAAACCTCTGTTTCCACGAGGGAGTTCTGGCTAGACTTAAATAGCTCTATGAACTGAACAGTCAGAAAACTAACAAGCCTGATGAGCTCCTTGCAATTTGGAAACGATAGATATCGCCCACACATTCTGGGACAGATAAGGCTCGAAAAACCTCACTATTTGTGGCGAAAATGTATCATACACGGTTAATATTGCGGCAATGTTAGCTTTAAGATGTCTGAACAAATTGGAAACGGAAAACACCGCTCCAAGTGAGCAACGTTCATCTCAACGAACTACTCATAAGTAGTATAAAATCAAGCAAAAAGTGAGGTATGCAAATGGGCTGCCTCAAGAGCAAAAATACTCATTTGTTCATCTATGTTGCCTCAGGTGTCTTTAGTATGGATGGTTTGCAGTATTGGAGCGATGAGTTGCCTCCAACCCGTCTACATCACATATCATACAACCGGGAAGGCTATAATGTGTAGCGGCTCCACAGATCCGCATCTAGTTCGGTTCAAACTTTCCGTTAGAACCAGGGGATCCTGCATGACAGGTCGTCGATGTATTGCGGAGTCATCCAGAAGTTGGGTCACCCACAAACGTCGCTCTAGTTGAATGAAATTGGTTTGCCCGATCTTCATGATTAAGGGTGTGTTCACCGTTCTCTGGCGAACAGATCGAAAACTCTTGTCTTGCAAGTCAGGGGATTGAACTCCATCGGCTAGTTGGTGAGGCTGTCTGGCAACACGCGAAGTCCGGTGCAGCATTGACCAACGAGAAGTGGTGCGACAGATCAACCACCAACCCACAGCCACGCACCTCTACGCTCCCTAACTGTTGATGTCATCTCGATTGGTGATGAGACGTTTGCAATCAAATTGCTCAGCGGTTGACCACAATCAAATATGTTGGTGGACTGAGTCGTAGAAATGTCACGGGAAATGACTATCACTCGAAACTTTGATGAGGGTTCATGTTCAAGTATTAATCGAAGCATCGAGGCAGGGGCCTTGCCTCTGAACCGTTTACATTGAGGGTACGAACCATTCTTTGAATCTACTGATGGGCGAAACATTGAATTGGGATCCTCCCGTTGTCCTTCACTCCTTCAGACTTGTCGCAGTTTGTAATGGTTCGGCTAGAGTACTTTGTTAAAATCAATCTTCAACAACTTCCCACTGAAATTCCTTCTCGCGAGTGATGCAAAAAAGAGTCAATCCAATTGATGGACGACGCATAATCGAATTGAGAATTCTAGTGGAATACGTTAACAAAAGTGTAGTGCACGAAGCTGTGCCAAATTCAACAACTTATCGACCCACATAATTCCAGCGGTGTTCTTGTGGTGATGAGGCCTTATGTGGCAGGTTGAACGCCATGAGTAAATGAAAACATCTGCAGTCGGCGTTCAAAATTCAGTTTAGATTGATCTACACCCTACACTAAATAAACAGGTATCCAAAAAACTGTTTTGCAGTGCAACGCAAATCGGTGTTGTTTTCAAGGACATTACTCAAATGGCGCATTTTCACTACAAAGGACTTACTTTATGCTTTTACATTAGGTGTATATGAGATATGAGAATTTCACACGAATTCACCAAATTTGATTTTCGCAAGAAAATTTTAATGAGGCCAAGATGGTTCAGTGATTAGTTCGTGAATTTACTGACAAGAAGGTCCATGGTTCGAACCCGAACTCTGCATTTCGAATTCCCTTGTCTAGGCTTGTGCAACCTGGCACTATCCCAGCCCTCGTACCTCCTTCGGGTGGCATGGTAGCCAGGTACCACGAGGGGTTTCACAGCGGAACGATTTTTTTGTTTAAATACCCCATGTGAATAAGTATGATTAACTTGTGATGGGATGATCGATAACTTTGGAAGACTGCAGTACTCGCTCCCTAGTGAGCCCGTTTCCACCAACCGAGACTTGTCTCCCAGTTAGGACCATTTCAGTCCGGTCTTGTGATATTATTACCTTGATGGGTTTGAGACTGACACCTAAGATATCACCCCAGTCTACTTGCTCAGAGGACCAGTGTCCCCGCTTGACAAAGATCGGCATGCCGAACGCGTACTTTGGTTTCACTAAATTAGGAGGCCTAGTAAGAATATGATCACTTACAGTACGAAAAATTTCGTTTCCGAACAGTAGTTTCAGCGACACGGAATATTACGTTGAATATCGAAAATATCCTTTCCCCCGAACACAAATTAGTCCCATAAATTGGGTATAGAGGTATTCACCATCATCAGCAGCTATATAGATCAAAGTGCATTTTTGTAAGGTGAAGACGCAATCACGTACGCAACCAAGACAATTTGAATCTAACATTCACCTTTTTGTTCTAAATCAGCATACAATCTGTCACATCAACCGGCTGGTAGTGGTCATTCAGAAAAATACCGCTTTCATTAATTGATGATCTTGCCTTTTAACATGAGTTTTTCAGAAGTGACTCGCGTAAAGAGCACCGTATTTGTAATGCACTACTCATAAGGTTCGTCGGTGGGCCTCACGACCGGTTTCTCCCTTCTTCGGGCTCATCAGGTAGGCGCAAACCCCGAGTTTCGGTCAACCTTATGTTCTACTTGAAACCAAATTGCACGAAATCAGCGAAACACAGTCATTTGCAAACTAATTTGGTTTTTCGACAGACTCACCTGGAACCCAGCTGAATCTCTCGTTTGTGATGTTTCCAGGCAACTGAATGTGCTGCATTAGGCCGTCTAATGCTTCAGTCGCTACGATATTCGATATATCGCTCTACATGTATATATTTGCAATGCACTACTCATAAGGTTGCTGAAAATTCGCCGACAGCCCACGACAGGTTTCGACCTTCTCGGGGCTCATCAGTATTTTATCAGACGTCGCACGGAACAAGCCACAGTTCCAAATCCGTTATACTTTGAGTTTCATTTGCGCCCTTTGTTGCCTTTGCACAAAATCGTGCAACGTTTGGAAACAAATACGCTTTGTTTCTGAATAAAACCGAAGCAAAGCTACTCCGCTGTCTTTAGGGTATAAAATGTATGCCAGTTTCGTTGGTATATCAGAAAATTCCTTCCACAGCAACATGCTCGTTTTTATTAGGGTATAGTAGGTGAGTGTGGAGAAAGTGCGATATTTCACATATCGTAGCGACTGAAACATGAGGCGGCCTGGTGCAGCACATTCAGTTGCCTGAGAACATCATAAACGAGAGATTCAGCTGGGTTCCAGGTGAGTCTCTCGAAACAACCAAATTAGTTTGCAGATGAGTGTATATTCGCTAATTTGGTGCAATTAGGTTTCCAGTGGAACATAAGGTTGACGGAAACCCGGGGACTGTCGAAAAGTTTTCACCAACCTTGAGAGTAGTTTCCTTTAAAGTAGCCTCTCTCCAGAGCACGCAACCACGTCACCCAACCTAAATAGTTCTCCAACTTGATCCGTCCTTTTCAACACATTGTGGTTGTCGTGAGCATGAATATGTTTGAAGCACTAACTACAGCAATCCTCTGAACAGAGGCCACCACATGAAATTCTGGAGGAAAACAAACTGTGTTAGCTCACAAACACGACGTCCTGAAGCAGAATAATTAACAGTTTCTCACGGTGCTCCTCTACTGATACAAATAAAGTGTGACAAATTTAGAACAGCACTCATTTTTAAAACACTTGACTATTCAAAACAAATCGTTGGAGTCAATTGGCGACCTCAATAATCAGTGTCCATTTCATGTGCGATTTCATGCTTGTCAGGATCTCACGTCGTTTAGATAGAACGCCGCTTTAGTGCAGAGAACCTCGCAGTCTAGAGATGACAAAAACAAGCACTGGTTTGTACAGTCACGCAACCGCTACACTCTGGAATCGGCTTTCGTGTCTGGTTTGGGTAGACAGACCATCGATGCTTTGCCCTTCCGATCAGTGTCTCCCGAGCAGATTTTGTCTGGGTGGGGTGCATCAGAAACCGCCATCGATTAGAAAGAGCATCAACTTACATTCTCTATGTGGCGACAGGTGTTTTCGTAGCAAAGCGGAGATCACGTGACTTCATCGTGTCTGCAATGTGACATGCGTAAGAGAATATACGATAACGAATCGCACTAATCCGGTTTGCGAAAGAACCAGTTCGACCGACGTGAGATCAGAACCAAATGTGGTGGAATCTTCTCGCCTTCCTAGCTAAGGTCTACACTTGGCTAAAAACCGCAAAGAGTTAGCGGTTAATTTCTGTAATGCACTACTCATAAGGTTCCTTAAAACTCTTCGACAGCCCACGACCGGTTTCGCCCTTCTTGGGGCTCATCAGGTAGGCGCAGTCCCCGAGTTTCCGTCAACTTTATGATCTACTTGAACCCAAATTGCACTGTTTACGAGAAATACACTCATTTGCAAATCAATTTGGTTTTCACGGAAGACTCACCAGGAACCCAGCTGAATCTGTCGGTTTTGATATTTCCAGGCAACTAGCGCTCAAGTTTTCACTTCCCACTTCCCCCACCAAGCTCAATTTGGCAAAGGATTCTAGTCCACCCTTCGAGACGGTGTACCAATCCAACGCTGTGCATATTTCATTGCTGTTCGACAGTGCCAGAAATTTATCAGTGCTCATTTGCTCGGAGGACAAAGAATTTCCGAATGGAGTTCTTCCTACTATGGGGGCTTCTTCCTTCAATGTTCAGCTGAACATCAGTGTTTACAAATGCTGTGTTCCGTCTCCATTAACGTACACGACGTTGCTCAACGAACAAAAGGTTCTACAATAACCAACAATCAGTGAGGACCATCGTCGGAACCAAGGAGTCTCAGGTTTAACACCGAAAACGAAGATCTCTAGTTGAATGTTTTTGTTTGCAATCCAAAGGCAATTTGAGAAAATTGCAAACTTGGCGGACAGAATTCTGCAGCTGAAACTGGCTGAGAAAATCGTCCAGCTGTAGCACCCTTTCGGTGTCTAACTGCCATGCCACGAGGTCTGGGATACTGCCAGGTCGCCCAAGCCTAGACAGGGGAAGCGGAGAGGCAGAGGTCGGGTTTGAACCACGGACCTTCCGGTCAGTAAATTCGCGCTCTAACCATTTGAGCCATCTCGCTGGTTGGCTTGGTCCTCAATCTATCGACGTTGTTCGGCTTCGCAAACACGATCATTTGAATGGATGTTGCAGAGGATAAGGGGTAACGGCAGTGAAGGTGGGCTCCCGACTACATGATCGCTGCCTATATGCAGAATCTAATCATCGCCATTAACGTGAACATCTGAGGTCATTTTCACCAAGCACAGATGATCAGACTAATGTGTTTTTATCGTGTAGATGCACAACAATTCCACTTGCAGTACCATCCACTGGTGTTAAAGAAAGCTGATGGTCTGAGAATCACACACGTGAAGGATTCGATGTTCTCTGGATGAACTTTGGAGATCGTTCATTACAACCGAGGTGTAGCACGAGATCCACAGCACACCTCACCACAACCTGGCGCGTTAGATGATCACCATTCCGCAGTCTATTACGTTAAAATACTAATAGGTAGGAATGGTCCTGCGGGCGTCGCCAAAATATCGAGCCAACCTCAGCGAGTCCCACTAGAGTATTTTTTGCTGAGGTCGATCCGCTGTTCGTTTTTTTGTACGGTTTTGTTGGCATTGAAAATATTGGACATCCAAGATGTATAGATTATACTTTGCACGAAAGGTGTTTATTGTACCTTTCGAAGCAGGTTGGTGGTGTACAGACGTGACATACTATTCATAAGGTTGATGCGAACGGTTCGTCTGCCGATGACCGATTTCGCCCTTCTTGAGACTCCTGAGGTAGGTTTCATTCAACCTTACGTTCTACTTGAACCTAAATTACTGAGCCTCCCTCGTTTAGGGTATTTTTAAGCATAAACGAGAGATTTAACTGGGCTCCAGGTGAGTCTCGTTAAAAACAAATCAGTATGCAAACGAGTGTATTTCACTAATTTGGTGCCTTCATAATCCCATTTCTGCTCCTAAACGTCGCCAAGAATCACCGTATCACTGAGACAATTACCTAAAAACCCCGGATGGACACCACTGATAGCAATTTACGACGCCTGGGTCCATGCCATCGGAACCTACACTCGGATGATATGTGCAAGCCTTACTGCCGACCACCGCGCTCGTGCAGCTTCGATTCGAAATCTTCGAGTAACCGCATAAACCTCATGCAACCGAAGTAGTGCCAAGTAACCGCCATTGCAGATGCATTTTTAGCCGCTAATGAGTACACTTCATGCTTGTTTTCAAGCACCATCCTCATTTTCACTTGTGACGAGCATTTCAGTTCATTATTTGATATTTTAGTAAGACACCAGAGATTGGTTAATGCCTTCGTTCTCCTAGTTTCATTCCAGTCGCTTTGGTTTGAATCACAAGTGTACAAACCTCTCCACCAGTAGTGAACTATCCAAGATCGACCTCGAATGAGGATGCCTTCGCTTGGTGCCAGAATCGCCCAAGTTGGGCCAACCCTCTGGGGCTTGCGTCCCAAAGGCGGTTCCGATGTCTTACGCCAAATCCGGGAATCAAGCCTCTCTGGCACTGGCATACATCTACTACCCTCACTGAAGTTGCGCGACCAACCAGCGGCTTGGTGGATGCCCAGACCAATCCTGTGACAGATTGACAGAACGATACAATTAACGTCAGCTCACCCTATGAGTGAGCACATCTAGGTTTGCTTATGCGAATGGGTCTGTCCAGGAATCCGGGTCGAAAAAACGGTTTCAGTCAAACGAGTAGCAATTATCTTGGTTACTCACGCGAAAACCCGAATGGAACGAAAGGTAGAATATTAATTTCCCGGTGGTTGCATTGGCTGTATCCACAGTGCCCAGGATGAAGAAGATAACGATGGTCGAGGACGGGAGGCTAGACCATGGGGTCTTGACCCACTACTTCCGATGATTTCTGAGTTCCAGACCAGGAAACCGAGAATCCTATCCACCGTTGCGCGAGGTCCAGGGATATCCTCGTATTGTCGGCCGGACGTGCTGAGTACAACACGAGGTGCTAAAGTGAAGCGATTGCCTGGATCTAGAGAGGTAGGCAAGTGGCCTTTAAGAAGCTACATCCTTGCTACAAGGAGTTGTACGCCAAGATTATGAGGAATGGGAGTAACTCTCAAATATTATTTTTGCCTGAATACATCTGACGGTGTCAAGCATGGAGACCGCTTCTTCCCAACGTGGGGCGAGATGGCTCAGTGGTTAGAGCGCTACCGACCTTGGTTCGAACTCGACCTATGCCTCTCGGCTTCCTGTCTAGGCTTCGGCTACCCGGCACTATCTCAGCCCTCGCGCTTCCTTTGGGTGACATGGCAGCTAGGCACCCAAAAGGAGCTACCGCTGAACGATTATTAGTGTTTTTCCCACCATAGTCACGTAAACAAGGTCCCCTACTGGCTTTAGGTTGCTGTCATTTGCTGGGAGTCTAGGAGAGATCTGAGTATCAGGGCAAAGAGACTAGTTGACGATCTAGCATTACCAGAGAAAAAAGGGTAAGGTGTTCAACATTCGAAAATTTACCAGCGAGAAACGACTTGTGCTGCATCAAGGACGAGTCATTATCCGATAGAAAGGTAAGTATCTTGGCTTGCAAATCTCATGGAAAGGTAGGAAACGGGTGGAGTGCTAAGATTCTGGAGGATATGCTGGTGAATGTGACGAAGACGCCTTGAGCTACCAGTTGGCAGTGTGAATACTAGAGTCGTTGAACCGTTTCTTCATAGACCCCTGGCTCAAATTACCGAAAAATGCGAGGACTTGGCGTTCTTTCATGCGACGGCTTGCGACTCTCACGTGTGTCTAAGATGGCACCCGATGGAGCAGCTTGCTATATTCCCCCCGTTTGGTAAATCCACAATCTCTGTTGGTAAGGAAACTTTTGGAACATAAGCAAATAACTGGCATTAGCAAACATACACTCATTTGCAAACTAATTTGGTTCTGCGAGAGACTCACCTGGAACCCAGCTGAATCTCTCGTTTGTGATGTTCTCAGGCAACTGAATGTGCTGCACCAGGCCGCCTCATGTTTCAGTCGCTACGATATTCGAGATATCGCGATACATATATAGTTTTGTGATGCACTACTCATAAGGTTGCTGAAAATCCGTCGACAGCCCACGACCGGTTTCGCCCTTTTTAGGGCTCATCAGGTAGGCGCAGTCCCCGGGTTTCCGTCAACCTTATGTTCTACTTGAAACATTCAGTCGCGTGAGAACATTACAAACAAGAGATTCAACTGGGTTCCGGGTGAGTCTCTCGAAAAACCAAATTAGTTTGCAAATGAGTGTATATTCGCTAATTTCGTGCAATTTGGTTTCAAGTAGAACATAAGGTTGACGGAAACCCGGGGACTGCGCCTACCTGATGAGCCCCAAAAAGGGCGAAACCGGTCGTGGGTTGTCGAAGAGTTTTCAGCAACCTTGTGGATAGTACATTACAAATAACTGGGAATTAAAGGAATGCAAACATTTTCATGACCTTTGGGGAGAGAGTTGTGGGTTATAAGCCTGAGAAAGAACAGGCGGATCAACGGCTCTGGTGAAACTCAGCTGAGGGGAAACAGCGTGTGAACGTTCTTCCATCAAGTGGCTATCAGATACAAGGGACATCGTGGTCCCTATCGGATTCAGGCTACTGGGGGACCTCTGAATGGTGAAGTTGGAAGTTTCTAAGCCACTTTGAAGATTTTTTTTAAAAAAGGAATACCGGGTTTCTCGTCAAAAACAATTTTTATCTCTTGGTATTGCATTTGAAACTACAGTTCAGCGTTGATATGTGTAACATAAAGACGGAACAAAGATAACAACGACAGTATGGAGAATACCAATGAGAGCATCTGCATTCTGGACGAAGGGTGTGTGTGTGTGTCAGTGAAGTAAAGGGATGGAGAGCATACATGGCAGACACACAGAGATCCGGTTAGATGGAGAAAGAAAACTTGGAAAAAAGTGGCAACTGATAGAGGTGGTGATTACGTCTCAATCAAAGATGTCAACACAGAACTTCTTCGTGCGTTCAGTTTGGTTCCAACCAGGGCGGATGATTGGTCGCGAGCACTGAAAATAGAACAATAACATAACGGATGACTACGGGACAAAAACATCCCATCTCCTTAGCGGGATTGGTTTAAACTCAAAGATGTGTGAGGCATCACGGTATTCGTTCTCGAGAAAACGGCCCTTACATATATGACAGCAGTACACAGGATTGTTAGGTTGGATTCTGTTAGTCCGTCGACGCCACCCAGACTATTGGACGCCAGCGAGTGAACCTACATGAACAGTTATGCGCGAATCTTGCGAGGGCATGATTATTTGAGCACTACTGTGTTTCAATTCGAATGATGTTAAATTTACCGGATTGGTTGTTTGCTACAGCAAAACGAAACATCGGAAACAGAAATGACGGTCAAATATTGAGTAGTGTCACAAAATCCGTCCGGACAGTTTAGTCTGTTGTTTGTGTAAACTGCAGGCACAATAGTGACGTATTCCGGGAAGCTCAACTGAGTGAGGCGCGAAATCACGAATCGATAAATATGAAATTTATCCACAAAATGTGGTACTACACGTAGAAAACGGTTCAGGAAAAGGACACAAAAATTATGGGCATTCTCGTCTAATCGTTGCACAAATTTGTGCAAGTTCAACTAAAACCCCGATAGGAACCGGTGTGGATTAACGAGAAACGTGCGCGCTCCGCACGTCATCAAAAAGCGCGCGTGAAAAGTTCACCAGAATCGGTTCGACATGATAAGAGGCAAAAGGTTATGAACGAGTTATGGGTGAATACTGAATACATGGGGGAGGCGTAGAAAACAGTGGGTTCAAGCAAGGGAAGGGTTTGATCGTGAGAAAGGAGGTACAAAGTGCCAATAGAAGATGTGTTAGAGCGCGAATTTACTGACCGGAAGGTCCGTGGTTCGGACCCGACCTCTGCCTCTTCGCTTCCCCTGTCTAGGCTTGGGCGACCTGACAGTATCCCAGCCCTCGTGCCTTATTCGTGTGACATGACAGCTAGGCACCGAAAGGGTGCTACAGCTGGACGATTTTTTTTACACATGAGCAGAGCACAAGGGCCGCACAGTTAACCGTTTTCCATAGTTATGGCACCAGAGTTGGATGCCAGAAATCCATACAGACCGACCCAAACACCAATGCGTTCTACATCACGCATCTTGCATGTGTTTCGTGGTCAGAGTCACGGATGTGCCTCTTGTTGTGACGGAAACTTCGTCGCCGGTGGAACGCACGGAACTTTCACCATAGAGTTTCCAACAACAGACACTTTCAATCGTCAGTCTATGGCTAAAATGCGTGACTCTATTCAGAAGTATAAGCAAGTGCGACGGACCCCACCGACCTCGAGTTCAGTTTGCTTCACATGTTCAGACACTAACCACATGACAAGTCCAAACGAAATCGTTCAAAGCACTCAATTCGAAGAGTTACGAGTAAGCGGGATTCCAACCAACGTCAGTCGATGAGTTAGCCAATGCCGGGTCACGTGATATGCGCCACTAGTGTTAATCAATCACTCAAGACTGAAATGCATCACTCTGTAGCACTGAGCAGACGGTTGGGTGATCAAGTCCGCTCAGGATTTGTGGGACATGTATTGACAATGACCTCCATTGGGAAATAATAAAATAATAAATCGCTCAGCCGTAGTACCACTTCGACGCCTAGCTGCCATGCCACACGAAGGAAGCACGAGGGCTTGGATACTGCCAGGTTGCTCAAGCCTAGACAGGAGAAGGCGAGAGGCAGAGGTCGGGTTCGAACCACGGACCTTCCGGTAAGTAACTTCGCGCTCTGACCACTTGAGCCATCTCGCCCCCATTATCACGTACAGTTGCCAAGGCGGGTAGGACAGCGTTCCTTTCTCAACGACCGCCAATGGGCAGCGTTTTTTGGACTAAACAGATAGTTGAACACTGCGGCAGTATCCGAGACTGGCAGGGGCCCTACCCAAATATACAACGCTTATCAATGCTGTATACAACAATTTCCGCAGACACGCAAGACCCTAGGGGAATTTTCACTCCCTCACTCATGCTTTCCAGACTCATTTTCGATGTGACATTGAAATACTTGGCGCCTGTAGCTAACGCCTGTCCAGTTTGAATGATCCGGACCATCGTTCCGACACTTAGCACTTCAATGGAGTCATTTTTTCAAGGAGCAGACCCCTGGAAACGAAAAAGGGTTAAGTCGTAAGATCTGAAATTCATCAGAGAACCGCAAAATGCAAAGTTTAACGGAAAAGTTTGGTGGCATCCAGGTGGAAACCGCTCCACTAACAGGATCAGCGTAGCCAAAGAGGGAATAAAGAAAGTTGAAGCGAAGTGGCAGCTTGTTCACCGTAGGTAAATTCCATCAACAGAGCGGAGCTGGTCAACGATATAAGAAAGCAGTCCGCGTGGAAATCATCGATATCTGCAAAAAAACGCTGTCTGAAATTAGTGGAAAGGTTTGACAGGATGGTTCGGGAGACCAACAAACCACATACTATACCATGACCGTACACCTTGAGTGGAAGTCTGTCGAAACTAGGCATCGACAAATCACGAGGACCTTGACCAGCAGGCGAATCGGCAAGTGTAGCTAGGGCACCCTTAACTGAGGTGATTAGTAGCGCGAATTCAAGAAGTGGATCGCAGTATATTTTCATGAAGGAAACTACTCACAAGGTTGCTGAAAACTCTTCGACAGTAACTGCGATATCTCGAATATCGTGCCAACCGAAACTCGAGGCGGTCTGTGTACAGCTCATTCAGTTGTAGAATATCAAAAACGAGCGATTCACTTGAGTCTCTCGTGAGAACCAAATTGATTTGCAAATGAGTGTATTTCTCGAAAGTGGATCGCACCTCTGTAGCACCGACATCGTTTTCAATGTCAGGCTATCGCTTCCGTTCAAGTGTCTATGCCGAAACAGTATAAGATCGCACCTAGATACATGGTAGTACTCTACTAAAAATGAAGGAAAGTCTCCCACATACCCTAGCCGAGTGCGTCCATGAACAAACCCACCAGCTAAGTAGTCCCAGGTTTTGTGCAGAACCAGTTATCCGTTCGTTTATCGTAGGTGTGATTCTCGCTTTTAACATCTACCGGTGTGGCTTTGATATGCATGGCTTCGTTGGCCTCTCAATTGCTCATGTCTGGATTTGGGAAGCCAGTCCTCGTGCTCCCGTCGGGTGGCATGACAGCTAGGCATCGAACGGGGTTTTACAGTCGAACGGTTATTATTGTCACCAAATATGCTGAATGCAGTTGACCGCGGATGCTTCAAGGCAGAGGAGCACATCACTTAATTCTGCGACTTTCAGTTGTATCGTTCGTATGAACAGTAGACCAGCATTCCCCCCAAACCGCCGAAAGTTATGAGCTTTCGTGACGCACAAAAGAATAGTGGAGAACTCCAAAAAACAACGATACATGGCAACCGTCCAGGGTGGTACAAGTCAGCCAACTCACCTACTTCTGGCTCTTTTCATACCGCACGGGATGTGGACAAACGGAGAGTATCATCATCGTGGTCGAAATTGACAAGATCATTATGGTCCTGGGCAACGAGTGAATCGGTCGACTTTGCTTTATCCCCGACAGGATACTCGTCATCTTTTAGTTCATCTCCAGATGGACGTAGTTCACCGGAGTCACCAGACGTGACCAACGGGAAGGCGCCTTTCCACATTTTTTGTAATTCCTCCCTGCCGAGAAAGATGGCAGCGAACACGACCGTGGTTCCCAAAGTAAACGGACACAGGTAGAGCAAAGCCGGTTGACCACGATCGGTCAAGGTCATTACAAACTGTGTGGTCAACATACCAAGCAGGTAACCTGAAACCAAAATAAGGTAGGTGGATTAGGTACAAGTAAAAATTGGAAATCAATAACGCATAAGGAATTGATAAACTGGAAGGCGGACCTAGTCAGATTCATTATCAGATGCGATTTCGGCATAGTTAGAAGGGTTCTGTCGACTAACCCTCGATACACATTATTGATCCACAGGCTGCAGTGGATTTCATGTGATTCTTCGTTGAGATTAACTGGACAGTAAATTCACCGATTTCTTGGTTCACTGAACCACAGTGTTGTTTTATGAGTTGGGCCTTGGCGTCAAGGTCATCGTCTAAATACGATCTTCCACTTCAGTTTGCGTCAACCTGGGGCCGGTATAAAGCAATATCGATTGAACAAGGGAGTGCTTGGGGACCCATGACTTGTTTCGGGTGACCAGATGCAGACGCCTTACAACTAGATAACTAACAAACTAAACTAGCAGACAAAGGATCAAGTCTCCACGAACGGCCTGCTCTCACGTGCATTTCGATCGTGAACGCCATTTGTGGGAGTTTTTTTCGGAAATAACACGCTGTTTGACACGACGGAATTACTGAAGGCCAGTGTGAAGCGACAAAAATACATGTGAATCCCCAGGGTTGAAAACCAATGGCCACCTTGTTACGGATGATTTAAGTGAGACCGCATCTATCGATAAAAATACGACAATAGTACACCGCTAGTGATGTGGAGAGAGCTGGTAATACTTAACAGAGGTCATCCTGACAGTGAAGCCAATCCATAACAAAATGCCGAGACGCACTGCTTCGTCCTTGTGGGGAATAATCAGTAGAGCACATCTCACGAAACTCAGATAGTTTCGAACTTAAGGCCTTCCAGGCAGTGGTTGGACATTGAATAATCTTGCCATGAGTGGCTGATAAGCACTGTGAACAGTTCTCACTTAGACGCGCCCCTCATCAATGAATCACGGAAACCGCATCGCGTGATCACTTATTAACTGGCCAATCAAGTGGCGGCCTATCAGGAGAAACATCTTGCCACGAGTGGCTAATTAGCACTGTGAGTAGTTCTCACTTAGACGCGCCACTCATCCTTGAATCACGGAAACCGCACCACATGATCACGACCTATCAGAAGAAAGTTTCATTCTCTGCGCTGCTCATTGGTGCAATAAAAGGACTCCAACCTAACCGAATATCACAAAAGCGGTCGCTCAGAACCAGACAATATCGACCAGAAACTATGGCATCATTCGATGGCGAAGCGCGAACTGGCAAAGCTGATCTAGAAGGTGAACGGCTGCCGCAGGATTAAGCAGACTGCCATGGAAGTCGGAAATTTCATGAAGCCTATTGGGATGAATGCCTGTGAAACCGCACCAGTTATTCCAGGCCGGATATCTGAAAACGGGGACACCACAAAACTTGGGGATAGCTTGGCCTATGAGTAAGCCACGAATACAATTTCATTTGCCAACCAAACTGGGTTCACGCGAGTCACACGAATGACCTTTTGAACGATCTTTCGTTGCGGGAAAAACAACTGCACGGTACGTGATACGGTGCTGTACTCTTTGCACGGAGTACCATGCGAGTGTAGTGTTAACCGACGCGAAAAACTGGTACGTATCGGAACAACATAGCCCTGGTAACGTGGTGCTAGTTAGGGATCAATCTCGCCATCCGACATAAGCATGTTTTGGGGTCAGTCAGATCGTGCGCTCGACAAAAACTGGTCGGCGAAATTATTGGACCAATCGAACCGAGTCAGTAAGCGGCGTGAAGCTTAATTGATCGGGGATCGAGCGGCAACACTGAATCGCTACTACTAACAAAAGGCGGTTGCGACTGACTGCGGTATTGGTTCTGCCTTGCCTACTTAACTTTGGCTCACGATGTTTTCATCAGTACTATGGTGGGTAACACATCACCGACAGCTTGCCATGGATACCAATCAAATTGTAAGCCTGAGGAATCCTGAGTTCGTTGAAACTACTGCAGCTCTCCGGCCGGAATATATCCAGTTCGACTAGACGTGAGAAAAAATACATCGCAAATGGGCTCTTGATCACTAAAAAGTCCCTTAAAATGTTCAGGTCACGCCACAGGTGAGATTATTAGACAGGAGCTTCTCTCGTCTCACATAACGTAACAGAGATGCCTCGGGTGACTGAAAATGAAACACCTGGAGGCGGAAAACCCGTGGTTAGTTGAATGACACCAGGTTTTGCGTGCGTTATACGGAATTCCATAAATGGGGTTCGCGACCCCGGAGGCTAATGGCATTGGCTGAGATCAGTCACTTCCAGAAGGTGTGGTCGGGATTTTGAAAGAGTTCAGAGGTAAGGATGCGATCGCCTCGTAACTACATGTAGGTCATGGAATAAAGATTACGTGTGTTTGGTTATCCGGGCCACTACTTGTTTGATAGTTTGCACTTGCTTCAGCCAGGGAGGGATTCGATCTACGAACGGCGTACTCCGCGTTTGGCGGCAGGTAGACTGCGACAGGCGAGTTTAATGTTGTGTCCTGGTAGTCCCAAATGTTCGTTGACTGGTGTCGGTACTCCTAGGTCCTTCTCGTTTTCCATCTTACGGGGACAGTATCTGCAAGCAAACAGACTGCGAGTAAAAAAACACGGACCCTTATTGGCTACAACATGAACCAATCAGAATCGAGCATATTTAGCCCGGCGCTTCTTGTCCAGTGCGGTCTTGTGGAAAACTCTGTGGTCATCCTAGATATACCATCATAACGATCTTCCTTTGTCTCCAACCTACCACAGGTTTTCATATTCCATAATGAGCAGAACAGCAAGCAAGTGTTGCAAAACACAACGTACGGCGAAGTTCTAGAAAGAGCGGCATTGGTGGAATTCTCACCGTTGAGTGGTAGCTTGTTTCTGAGTGACTAGGTAAACTCGAGAGAAGTCGATCCTCAAAATATGTATGCGTCTCTGGGACACAAACCAGCGGTAGCCACAGCTCAGTGTTCCACTAAATATCGGATCAAGTATAGGACGGGGTTCCTTATCCTCACCAGGACATCGTAGTTCAACTTTCCGAAGGCTTTTGACACAGGATATACCCCTATTCCGGTATCCAGGTCCCTAGTACAACCCACTCTCGGGAATGATAGATCGGGCAGGCTAGATTGTCTGCGGAACTGGGTTCTATGACTGCGGAGAGAACGGGAAGAACGGTCTTTGGCTGGCAAAGTTGGACGCACAGACCCTCCGTAGATGAGCGTCATGACTCCGTACTTCCATTGCCCTGTTCAGCAGATCCCGGAGAAATTTCGAGTGGCTCAGCGATCACGCAAGCCGCGATAATTTGCTGTGTAGCGGTGCTTTGCCGTGATACTTTGAGTTTGCATTCAACCAGAAACGCAAAAAGACCACTGAGATAAACTCGTTCGGCGAGCCGATCAAACCTGCGCGAACTGGATTGCGACGCAACACAAATTCCACACAGACTGATCAAATTACCTGCAAACCAGACTTCAAACAATGGGTCACTTTGAAGTAAGGAATGCAAGTGGACTTGGCTGACCAAGCGCGGATGATGTTCCCTTGTACATGTGCAAGTTAGTTGCCAGGTCAAGTGTCAAGTGATCAACAGCCGATGTTCAAAATACCGTTCGGGTGCATAAGCAAGACGGAGAACGACCATTCTCTCAAACAAACAGGTAAACAAACCAATCGCGTGTAACTCACCAAACAAGGAGGCCAGGAAGTTCATTCGAAATCGAATTTTCCACAGGGAATCGTAGAACGCCAAGAAGGCGCACAGTAAACCTTGGGTAATGGAAACAAGAAAAGAGTGGAGGGAATAAACAGGATATTGTAAGTACCAATGAAAAATAGAAGTCAGTTGTGGGCACGTCCACTGAGAAGGGTACATACGTTAGCGCGCTTTTGGTGCCTAACTGCCATGCCACACGAAGGTTGCACGAGGGCTGGGATACTGCCAGGTTGCCCAAGCCCAGACAGGGGAAGTCGAGAAGCAGAGGTAGGGTTCGAACCACGGACCTGTTGGTCAGTAAGTTCGTTTAAATATGAGTGTACGACTTTGATAGTGAAGCTTGAAATTGAACCCGAAAGTACAATACAGCAACCATAGTAACCGCACCACCAAGTGCTTCTTGTACGCAGCTGCGAGCATCCGAACGGATACGTCAATGATCTGGCTCAATCAGACTAGCTGATATTGACCGATGTCATCTGCGTTCTTGCTGTCAGATTGTCTGAACGAGTGTTTACAGGTGAAAACTTGTGATTTGCTTGTAGTAAGCTAGCATTAGGCCCCACATTTCCTTTTGTTTGTTTCCTCAAATCAAGGCCTCTGAATAAGTTATGAAAGAATAGGCGTTGGGCACCGATGATGATCGCCCTTGACTTGGTTTAGGACCCATTAATGGAAACCAGGACGTCTGAAGTGAATCGCACTGAAACGACTGGCTATACGGCTTTCCACAAGCTTTTGTACAGCTCCAGGTTGTTCACTACTCTGTAGATGCGCGTGGCTCAGAATATCGATTCTGATTGGTCAATATTCGGAACAAACAGTGTGCGGTGCGCTTGGGTCGCAGTAGATTACCCGAATAGTTATATCGCATTACTGAAATCACCAACATCGTATAAGCCTATCCCTGGAAAAAGGGACTAAAGGCATAGTGGAGTAGAGTGTGAGGAAGCTCGTTTCATTTGAAACTTCCTACATGTTACCGACCATCGGATCCAGTAGTCCTGACCCCTATCGAACACTGGTGTAACTGTATCTAATACACTTACTTTGGCCTCTTCCAACCTTAAATTTCATCATGTAACGTGTTCCAATGAGCGTGAAACCTGGAGATATCATCAAAAATCGGCAGACGAACGCAAAACCGGAGTTTAATTAAAACCGATCACTGCAAAGATCTGAACTCCTCACATCACGTCTTGATAAAACATGCTTCCCTTCGTAGTGTTCAGATTCAGGTAGACTCACCCCCAAAAACAGAGTGGGATTCGGAAAGTAAAACTGCAGTCGTAAAGTCACACTGCAGCAAAAAAAGTACATTATGGTTGGACCACCTGATGCAACAGTTTGTGTGAGTGTCGGTTGCCACACGTGACTAGTCACATAGGTTAGACTGAACTATTAGCGCTAAAGCCCGATCAAATACATCAAACTGCACTGTAAGCAGTCCGGGGTTAGAGCGTGAAGTTACTGACCGCAAGGTCTGCCCCTCGACTTCCAGTCTAGGCTTGGGCAGTATCTCAGCGCTCGTGTTTCCTTCTGGTCGCACGGCAGTTAGGCGCCGAAAGGGTGTTACAGTCGAACGATAATCAGTCCGAGGAGAGGAACCCGGGGAAGAGTGCTGCGTCATCACTTTTGTAAATGCCTCGAATTTCGGTGACAAAGTAGTTGAGGAGTTGTGCTTCTTGAGCGGGATTTTAATGGATCGGAGATGAGCGTGATCGATCGCAACCTCATGGTGAGAACGGTTGACCCCCCCCCAACAAAAGGAGCCTCCACCAAAGGGACANGGGACAAGCCTCTTCGCAACATTAGCTTTTCCACCAGCAAGTCCCGGGAAACAAGCGGAGTTATTTCATTGAGCCACAAATGACTGGTTAACTAACCCACAAGACGAAACAGTGAGCACGTCCCTCAAAACGCTTACACAAATTCAACAATGGAATGCCATGCTAAACGACTGGTGCGCTACCCAACACACTCATGAGGCAGAACTCGACCTCACTTGATCGATAAGTTACCGGAGCACACACACATGACCATTTATTGGAAAATATCACAGCTGCAATTCGGACTGTGGAAAGCAGGATGAAGCATCGAAAGATGCGTTACCACAGTAGAATTCTCGTTCTAACCTAGCTTGATAATGAGGGGACTCCTCGTTCTTACCAGCACCGGGTTGATACCCCAAAGACTTCCCCTGTCTAGGCTTGGGCAACCTGGCAGTATCCCAGCCCTCGTGCTTCCTTCGGGTGGCATGGCAACTAGGCACCGGAAGGGTACTACAGCTGAACGCCTCGTTGTTACAAACACCGGGTTGATAACCCGATTGAGGACTCAATACGTTACAACGGGATGAATAAAAACCACAGAACATCACGACCAAGTGATGTCAAATTGACATTTGAGCTGTTCATTCCACCGATGAATGCGATCGGTGTGCAACTAGGATTGCAAAAGTGCCTTTCGAGCGGGACAGTTGGCGGTGACACATACGATTGCGTTCCTTCGGGGAAGCTGTCTGTGAATAGCCCCTCGGAACACACGACACGTCTACAGTCTTTCCAATTAAAGACAACTATACACAAGAGACCGGTTGTTCACTTCAGTCGATTGAATGAGGGGGCAACAGTATGAGCATATGGTTATTCAACACTGAAACAGTGTACAGCACCAACTGCAAGTGGTCTACAGTATCAAGCCAGGGGGGCTGCGTCGCCGGTCATGCTATGTGGAGAGTAGCGGTTCGGGACGCTCACGAGCCTGACTCATACTGCTCAAGGAGAGGGTCATCGTGAATTTGTACGTGGAAAACCCGTATGGGCAATGAATATGTGAGACTAGATCTCGAGCGAATCCTATCCCCCCTGGAAGAGGTTCCTCTTCAGTGCAAATAGACCTAAAACCTGAGCAGATTAGTGCTTAGCAGTAATCGAATGAGCCAACGAAACTTTCGGGAAAGTACACAGACTCACGATATCGGTGCTTGACTGTCTTGCATCCAAACCAGGTAAAACCGATGGTGAAAAGAAGAGTTGGATGGGAAGTGCCCGTCAGTTATGAACAGGCCTAAATATGTGGCTGTTGTTAGCACATCGAATGGGCGACACGTGACCGAACCGCTGCAGCTCGTAATACCGGACGCATTCCACAAGTGTTCAAAACCTGAAGAATTGAGGCATCATCCTTGTTGTTGAGTTATGGTCCTATTGATAACATTTACTTACTTGTCTTTTAGGTAATCAATGAATATAATATAATATAATATAACATAATATTGTTGACTTTCGGCAAAAAAGCTCGAAACCAACGTTTTCTACCCTACTAACAAATAATCTACGGACTATATGTGTCATTCCCTAAATCGCCACTGTAGACGTACAGTTCTGTAAGGATACAGCGCCAGCCAAGAAAACTATCCTGAAAATTTCGAACCTCGAGTACAAACAGATCCAAGAAAACAACACTGCTGGTGGCCGACTGTGGATGTAACCTGCAAGTTGAAGAGTTGGCGTCACTGGAAAGGCGAGGAATGTGCGCTGAAATGTAACCAAGTGACTCGCTCACCAGGGAAGATGGCATCACCAAACCCGAGCAGTATGCTGTATGGCGATTGTTTACAACCGTACTGTCCTGTGGTTAGGACGAGGTGTATTCGGAAACTGGCCGGTATCGTCTCGCCGCTTATGCCGGCTGATCCAGTGGCAATCGCTTCCATGTAACTCAGTTCATTCGAGGCGGAACGTCGGCTCCGAATAACGTGTGTTGCCGTTGGGGGAGGAGGTTCGGTGGCCTAAATGGACAGGAAGGAATCGAATGAAGAAAGTGGGGACTGGAGGAGACAAAGAACGAAACTCATGGTCCACATTGAACATGTCCGTCAGTAGTTGAGGCCTACTCGATCGTGCAGCTGGCCACATTCGCCTAGCACTGCCTCATTGAGTATGCGTACAAGCAAATAAGTACACGCAGACACAAACCGAGGGCTACCCTAAGGTTTGAAAGCACTCAAGGCGGGTGGAACCTGGCCTACGACAGGCGAAACCGCAAACTGCTTAATCTGTGGCCTTCTCCGGAAACCGCATGATGAAGTGTGAAGTTATGAAGATGAGAAAGATGTGACCCAAATTGAGGTCAAACGTAATAAATGAATTCATCACGTGCTTGCATGGTGAGCAGGTGTGCACCCAAGATTAAACGGAAGCTTTTCATTGAGTGAACCTATGCACAGACTGATGCCCGGGTGCGGATGGCTGAAATTCGTGGACCATGCCTAATTGAAAGGCCCCGAACAGCAGAGAACTAGTGGGTTGTCATCGAACATCAATCAAACAAATTTCCCGGTAATGTTCGAATCCGAAATCGTTAGAAAGCAGAACGGGGGACTGAACAGGTCCCAAATGGTGTCCATCACAGATGAGTGTGACCATGCACCCACGTTCCGTGTTGGACCCGTCCCTTCGGTATATATTTTGAAATCCTGGGGTATAATACAGTCGAGTTCCCGAGTAGTGTCGGATATACTTGTCAATCGTTTTGGAACAGACATGCAACTTGGAAACACCGCAACAGGCAGAACGGCAGGACCGTTTTAACAGGTGTGTGACCTGTGCACAGTTCGTTGATCATAGGTCGATACCTACACGTTGAGCAGCGTAACTTGGTGCGCTGTGTCTGGGTACCTCCGTGATTGCAACAAACGTGTCAACCATCAACAATAAAGTAGTAGATTTTTTATAACAAGTGAAATCACACGGAGATTATTGAAAAACTGAAGACGTGATATTTCGCGATCCAAAGTTCGCGCACAGGTGAGCCGTAATGCACTGTTCTAGCAGTTGAGTTTAGTCGACTCCCGATCGCGTCAAATGAGAAACGCTGAAAACTAAGGACTTAGTAGTTATATCATTGCGAAGTGCTTGAATATCATGTTATCCGGACTTTCTTCAAGAGACCGAAAGCGTGAATCCGGCGCATCTAAACTTGCATATTGCTTCACGATTGAGATGAAGCAGTTATCCGAATTTTCTCCGGGTTTCAACCCGGGGGAAGGCTATTTTCAGGGCGACTGTTTTCGCCATACATTTTCCATCCCCGTCATGATCGTTCCCAGCACACAGACGACAAGGCTACGTGGGTCTTACAATACTACTGGTATTTTGAACGCCCAACCAATACAAACGCAGAAATGTTATCAACTGATCTAACATGAACAAAAAAATTTTAAGCAAATCGTCCGACGCTGGCGGTCCCACTAGGGCCACTCGACGCTTAGAGCACACGGTTGATCAACCACCATGAGATCTCAGAGAACCACGTTTCGCGGCCACCTCTTCGACCGCACACTAGCCTTGACAACCTAACCGATTTAGGTCGGAACAGCAAGTATTAACGGTTGGCAAGACTCGCTCCGGCTTTGCTAACTACGCAGTTGATTCCTCTCTCTCTCTCTCTCTCTCTCTCTCTCTCTCTCTCTCTCTCCANNNNTCGCTCTGGCTTTGCTATCTCCGCAGTTGATTCCTCTCTCTCTCTCTCTCTCTCTCTCTCTCTCTCCAGTCAAGCGGGACTTGTGAAGTTGTCCTGATGGTTGAGTCTGCCCACCACATCGGTCCATTGATCTCCAAGCTTACCATCTGAGGTGCGTTTTACCCAGCCTTACCGTTGGAGGCGCATGTCAAACAGTGAAACGAAACCATCTGAATTACTGAAAGTAAATTAAATTTCCAAAGCATGTCATCTTTCTTTCAGTGGATTCATCATAACATGTGGGTCAGTCTCGGCAGTCCTACAGCCACAACCCTTGGTTTTCACAACGAGGATGCTTTATGATCCTTTGTATATGCTGTCAGTAACCGGACGACCACCAACAAACGATAAAAACTGAACTGGAACTGAACTGGACGTCTATGGCGTCACAATGGTTCATCCCTGAATCTGAAGGGACGTGTGTATCAAGCTACAGTACGGGCTGTTTTGTTGTATGGCTGTGAGACTTGGCCTATTCGAGCAGCGGACCTGAGACGTCTTCAGGTGTTCGACAATCGTTGTCTCAGAACCATAGCTCGTGTGGGTTGGTGTCAGCGAATCCGTAACGAGGCAGTTAGAAAGCGTGTTTTCGGTTGTGTAACGGGTACTTCCATTGAAGAATGTGTCCAGCACCAGAAGCTGCGTTGGTTGGGACATGTTTTACGCATGCCGAACCATCGTTTGCCGAAGAGAGTGCCGTTTTCCATGCCCAATTCGGAGTGGCGTAAACGGAGAGGTGGCCAACCCTTGACCTGCCAGAGGGGTATGAAGGAGATCACGAAACGCTCGGGTGCTGTCGGTGCTACTCGCCTTCCAGGATGGGGACCGCGTGATCCTCACTGTGCCTGGTTGGAGACACTACAAGATATGGCTGCCAACCGATGTCAGTGTCGTTCTTGTTATCACTTTCTACTCAGATTGCCTGAGTGAATGTCTGGAGGTATATGCACCTCGGAATGATTGTGTTAAGCTAGCACTAAGTCCCTCCCCCATCCACCTTTATTCTTTTCTTCACAATAAGGCTTTCAAATAAGTCATGGTTGTACGGCAGTGAAGCATCGGTGTTGAACACTGATGTCATGCTGTCGATGATGATGATGATGATGAACTGGAATTGTAACCAATATCGATCACAACCGTTAAACGAGGTTAACACAACGAAACAGCGCTTACCTGTTGAAAGTACGGGGTGATGAACACAAAGAATACGTCATAAGCCAGGAACATGGCAAAGCAGATGGTGATTAGCTAGAATGGAGCGGGAAGAGAGAAAAAAGACGGAAACGGTAAGCAGATTTAAAACATGCATCCCCGGGGTGAACAATGAAGCAACCAGAGATTTGCAGGAAAGTGCAAGAGAAACACGAAAGCGCGCTTCATTGGGAGATATGATATCAGCTGGAACCCAATGGGCTTCAGTCAGTATAAAGGCTAATACTGAACACGCCATAAAACGGACGTTCCATAATTGCGGTGATCGACGAAGGAAGTATGAATGTATGCTGAAAAGCCGAGAATCCCTTGCTGCAGTGTACATCTCAGGAATCCCCGAGAGTCCCAACCAAAGTATTCTTAGCAGTACAGAGATCACTTCATGTTGCAGCTGAAGCGGTATTCAAGAAAAAAAGGAAGCATTTATCTCCGTGGGGAAAATACCCGGAGAGAGCCAGCTGGGAAGAAAGTGAAACCAAACTGCCAAATGTAATCGAATAATCTTCGGAACCAGCTATCGGTCTATTAATTCCCTAAAGCAGATGGAAGCGAGATGGTTAGAGCGCAAATTTACTGACTAAAAGGTTCGTGGTTCCAAACCGACCTCTGCATCTGGACTCCCCCTCTCTAGGCTTGGGCAACCAGACAGTATCCCAGCCGTCGTGCTTCCTCCGGGGAGCATGGCAGCTAGGCACCGAAAGAGTGATACAACTGACCGATACGATAAAG